TTGAGTTCTATTTGTGGTTAAAGTTTGATTAACTCGAACTGAAACACCCTATATATATATATATATATATATATGTGGTTGTAGAATTTCTCCGGGTTCCATTCTGCGATGAATCTACATGGTCCTCGAAAAGAACCATTTGTTTGATGACGTTTCGGTAAAATCTCATTTACCATCTTCAGGTCTTCTTACTTCTGCTATTAGTAGTAAGTAAGCCAAACGTAGTAACGCGAATCGGAAGTAAGAAATTCATCGCGGAAATTCTACAACCGTATATATCTGCCTTTACATGAGAGCGACAAAGTAAAGTAAAGAAATCCGTGCTATAGACATGGATGGCTATAGTAAAGACGTTTCATAATCTGAATAGTCACCGCCCGTTTCGGGTTAGAAGTGGGAGTGACTATTCACTATTCAGATTACGAAACGTATTCAATGTCTATCGAACGGATTTCTATGACTTACTTTATCGCTCTCACGTAACGGCCGATGTACCATGGGGACTTTCCGAACCTGTATACATATATATATCGATTTCAGGGTATTGCTGGTACTGACGTGGCAAAGGAAGCATCTGACATTATTTTAACTGACGACAACTTCAGTAGCATCGTAAAGGCTGTTATGTGGGGTCGGAATGTATACGACAGTATAGCTAAATTTTTACAGTTTCAGCTTACCGTCAATGTTGTTGCTGTTATTGTAGCTTTCATTGGTGCTTGTGCTGTCAAAGACAGTCCACTCAAGGTAAGGCGTAGCATAGTATATTTATATTACCCGGGTTAATTTCATCATATTACTCTGATTATTAATATCATTTGATGTGTTCGCTAGTCATTTGACGATTGTTTTTTCTCATTACTTTCATATTGTTATCGAGACTTTGTTTCTCTGTGGAGATATTCACGGGTGTATTCATTCATACATTGGTCATTTTAGGCTGTACAAATGTTATGGGTAAACTTAATAATGGACACCTTGGCTTCTCTAGCTTTAGCAACAGAATTGCCTACTGACGACTTGTTACTTAGGAAGCCATATGGTAGAACAAAACCGCTGATTTCTAGAACGATGATGAAAAATATTTTAGGGCAAGCAATCTACCAGCTAGCTGTAATATTTTCATTACTTTTTGTAGGTTAGTACCGAGCATAAAGTGATTAAGGAATATTATTTATTACCTTTTGCCTATTTTCGTTCAGGTGACCAACTCTTGGATATTGAATCGGGTAGGGAAAACATTGGAAAAGGACCAACTCAACATTTCACCGTAATATTTAATTCCTTCGTCATGATGACTCTTTTCAATGAATTTAATGCTAGAAAGATTCACGGACAGAGGAATGTTTTTGAAGGAATATTTACTAATCCTATATTCTATACCATTTGGATTGGAACTTGCTTTGCACAGGTAGTTTATATACACGTATTTTTATTTTAGTGTGCAATGAATTTAACATTATCGGTCCGATAAATTTTTTTAGGTGCTAATTATCCAGTATGGTAAAATGGCTTTCTCGACTAAGAGTTTATCCTTGGAACAGTGGCTGTGGTGTCTGTTTTTCGGAGTAGGAACTCTTCTGTGGGGTCAGCTTGTCACCACAGTTCCGACACGTAAAATACCAAAGATTCTTTCGTAAGTATGCGCCTATACCTATTATTTATATAAATGTGTCCCTCTTAATAACTTTTTAAATTAATAATAAATGTCAGATGGGGCCGCGGACATCCCGAGGAATACACGGAAGCCATCGCTATCGGTGAGGAGAAGTTCGACCTAGACTCTGACAAAAAGCCTCGTGCCGGGCAAATCTTATGGATCAGAGGGTTAACCAGACTGCAAACACAGGTAAGTAATTTTAATTGCCTTGAGTACACTGTGTAAAATGCGATGTGATTACACGATTGTTGCACCAGTAGGTAGGAGGCTGCACATAGGCAGAGCTGAAAGCCAAATGCCAAACTGCCAGACAACCTCTATCCTACGCGAGTGCTAAGTATTATGTAAATGAGTGATTGATTTTTTTGAACAGAGCTCGGTCATTTTTAAGTACTTTTATTCAGATTTAGGCAAAGGTCCTATATTATATCATTTTGAGCGGTGACACTAACCTTTCTTTACGTTCCATGCCTTTACTTTCTATCTATATCAGACTTGTGATTTTACAAATTAACCACCGATTTAATAAGTCCATGTTGCTCGTGGACATGTGCTTTATTATTGTTCGCGCGTGTATATATATATATATATACAATTTTTTTTGCAAATATCTATCGGTAAAATACCATGTTGAAAGATTTGCCGTTTATTATGTGAAGTGTAGTGTCTGTCGATCTCGATGGTGTAATATATATACCTATGGGAACTAGGCAGTCAGTCAGAAAGACCACGTCAGTAGAGAACATCCTATCTCTCTCGTCCTTATCCCTACCGTTTTAGTCTTATTTTGACCGGCATGGTGCTGCTTTTGACATTTGATAATGTGTGTGCAAAATTAATTCACAATTTTGGGTGTATTCGGAGATTTTGTACCTGGCTATTCATTTAATTGCTGTCACATATGTGATAACTAATAGTTATCACTTCTTTTTATTTATTTCTTCCCTTTAGCTAAGTACAAGTTCCCGGTGGAGTGTTTATACAAAGTTTATATCGTACATTAAGAATTAACTGCTGGTGACATTAAATTAGAAAGTAATTGTTCCAATTATCGCGCGGTAGTTTTTTCTTAGTTATCCTGTGTATAAACACTGGACACATTCTGACTTCCATTATATTTAATTGTACCTAATAAGTTATTTTTTATCAACGGAAAAAATTTTTTTTTACATTTTTTTTTCCTTCACATTTAAATCTGTCAATAAGTCGTACTGTAAAAATGTTGTTTACTTTTTGCGACCTTAATATATTCTCATAAAACTGCATACAGATACCACTGCAGTTACTTCAAGAGATAATAAATAATTATGATGGCTTACTGAACAGCCATATATTTTGTTACGATGTCGTTGTTTTACCTATGGTATATTCTATGAAATGTTCTATTTTAGATATATTGCTAATCGCCTATGATCAACCACCTCATGGTTTGCCTTAACCTAATAGTTTCCTGCAGAATTGCAATTGCATAAAAAATCAACACATAAATAATTATAAACAACACTTTAACATCGTGTGAAATTTTAAAAAACACTGGATTATACTGAAGTACCAGACAATTTGGACAATTACGCTGGAATCACAGAATTTTGTAGCTAAAAATTTAATTACCATTCGTGGTGCACCGTTACCAGGAAGTCCGTTAAGAAAAATTATGTGGTACATTTTTCAGATAATTATTTATATTGGCTTAATAACACTAATGTATTTGTCTTTTTGATTCACTTTTGACATGATTCTAAAACTTCTTAAGTAACTGTAGTGATACCCTTAATGTTCCTAATAGAGAACGAGCTGTATTGCTGAAATATGTGCGGTACACAGGCTGTAACAAAAGTGAACCAACAAACTTCGGGGGCATATAATGTACTTATGAGAAAATAGTTGTGTTACCATATCCTGATTATTTGAGTCTACGAAATAATTCAGAATTTATACAATCAGGTACACAAAAAAAAAAACATTTTTTTTTTATTGTAAATAGTGTAGTAGAGTAATAATAATAATAATAATAATAATAATAATAATAATAATAATAATAATATCTCTACTCCTCATTCTAACTACGAGAATTAGCCCAGAAGTCGGAGACTTGTGCGGGAGAGGAGGCGGCATATTATTATTAAGCAGGCCGCATTTGCGCCCAGGAACGACTTATGTTGGTAGGCCCTAACCACCATTCAGTGCAGGAATGAGGGAAACCCGGAAAACCTCATTAATTAGTGGGGTGGTCAAATGCCAACCGGTGTCAATCTCTCACATTGTCCCTATCCAACATTCTTCCACCCTACCATACCTGCACAGAGGGTGCCAATCCTCCGTACAAGCATAGCTAATCTATGGTCCACAGGCCGCGGGATTCGAAACCCGGGCAGATAACACACATCGATTTAAGTAGTGACGCCTTAAACCGTGCGGCTATCGACCGACAAGTTTGATAATGAATTAAAAATTATTCCTCTTTTTAAACTTCGGCACTGTCCAACTCTTGACATGTCTTTTTTTTTCATTACTTACATATATATATACAGAGTCAGAGTACCTCATAATAGATTGTATATAGAGTAACAGATGATTTGTGATTGTCATAATAATGTGATCTGGTAAAACTTAATCCAAAAGTTGATAGTAACAGGGTGTCAAAATTAAAATTTTATTTTCAATTTTTTCTTTAAATAAACTATGAAGTTAAACGAAATTTGGTATCCGGTGTTTTTTGACATGAGAAATTTGAATTTTTTGAACTTTTGTAGTTCACAAATTTTATGCTACACGCTAAGTATATTATTTTTTACTATATATCATTTTTGCATCAAAAGGATATACCTTCCTAATGTCGCTCGCTAGGGATTTCGGTTCTCGAAAATATTTGCATTTAAAAGATTCAATGTATAACAAGAAAGTTAGAATATAACAAAATTTTGTCAAAAGCAAAATTTTAAGCATACATTATAACCGTGAATTATTCTATTAAATTTTCAAAATGTCTTCCACCTACTTCCATATATTTTCTAATCCCTTTTTATTAAAGATTCACAGACATTAATGGATATTTAGGAATGCGAATTTCTCCAGTTGAATACTCCTCATCGGGTGAAAGTTGCTTCATCCGTAAAAAGCATGTTTTTAAAAAAATTGTGATTTTCGTTTCGTTTATTATGAAGAAATTATGTAAACTCTAGTCGTGCAAGATGATCTGTGAGCAACAAATTTTGAACCGGGGTAAAATTTAACGGTTGTAAATTTTATTTTCGGAATATTATGCGTATGAAAGATTAAAACTTTGATGGTTTGGTTGGATCCTGTCAGGATACAACCGTATGTACGTCCGACGAGCACTTCTGCCACAAAAATCTTCTTGTACATAAACACATATCGTGTCTCACATCTGAATATTAGAAAAATTGTTGTGGCGGGGCCAATGAAAAACTCAACAGTAATCTAAATTCTAACACTAATTAAATGACAAATTTGACAAACTAATTTTGAAAGTGTTTTTGATTGTTTCTGTTTTTATTTGGAGAACTATTTTGATAAAGTGCGTCCACAGTTGAAATCACATTGAATCTTTTTTGAAAAAAAAAAAAAAACGGTAATCCGTAGGGACATTAAGAAGGTATACCTTTTTGATATAAAAGTGATGGGAAAAGAGTTGTTGCTACAAGAAAATAAGTGTGTAGCAAAAAATTTATAAAGAAGCGGTGTAAGTTGCGCTCTCTACAATGTATGCCAAAAGTATGAAGAAATTTGAGGTTCTCGGTGAAAAAACCGGGATACCAAATTTAGTTTAAACACGTCAATTACATATTGCAAAGGTTATTTAAAATATTTTTAAATAAAATTTTGATTTTGACACCCTGTAACTCGGTTACCATCAACTTTTGGACTAAGGTAAGCTTAATCAGATCACATTATTAGGACAATTCATTCACACTCTGTATGTCCTCGATAGTTGTCGAATAGTTATTTTTGTTACACCTTGTGTACATGTACAAAATCATGATAAAAGCTTTGTCCTTATTCAAAATAATATAAATAAAATTTTAATTATTCTATAATTTCTAAGCTGTATGTGTAATTTCATCGCCATTGGCAATGTATTGATGTTAACTTCAAAAGTAGTATTTTATTTAACGTCTTCCAATCAATTAATTTATTGATGACAATTTATTATGATATTGAAGTCAGAGTGTCCGCCCAATTATGATTGTTTTGCTTTTTAATTGTTGGTGGTTTTTTTTTTTTTTTTGCATAAACAAAATATTGTTCGTCGACTAGAATACAAAAAGTTGCCTGTGTTATAAAAAATACTAATTGTGTTTATATTCTGTAGTTTTAATTGATATATTAAAATTATTACGTCATTGATTGCCCAGCAGTGGATAAACACCCGTCCTCTTGCAGTTTTTAGTTTATTTTTATGGTAGAAAGAGTTGGTGATATTTTAAATTGCAATTGCTTGTGTTCTTTACAGTGTTTCACTCTAGTTGACCTACACCTGTAATAATCTTTTTCTTTAATCCTAGCATGCATTTAAATAAAACAGACACTCGAATATTACAGCTCGGTGCATTCAGACATGTAGTTGATATTTAAATATACCGTTTAACACCTAGATAGATTTAGTGCTATTAGGTTAGTATGTGCATGTCCGATCGTACACGTACGTTAATCCGTTTGTCCGCTCGAGCCCCAAGATGGCTGTGTTGTCTAAGGTTGCACCATCTACACCAATCGCAATGGCCAAGGTCGCTGTCACAAATCCCGCCCGGATATATTTTTTTTTGTCTGCAACATGCTACTTTTCACTTCTTATAAATGTGTTATTGTCTTGTCTTAAGCATACTGAGCACATTAGAGAGTCACCGTAACTCTCTGTACCATTATGTAGAATCGACTTAATGAAGCACCGAAGAATAGAACATCGGGATTTAACTTTTATTTTGTCATATTTAGCCAGCGGAACCAATGAAAGAAACTGAGGTATAGGGAACCCGTGGGTGCATCAAGCTACAATAAACAAGTATGTAGTTTACGGTAGGCATTTTAGCTGAGATGCGATTTGCTATGTTTGCACTGTGGAGTAGTTGTCTTAGAGCAAATCCCTTGGATGTCTTGTTGCCCCCTCCCCCTGTACCTCGTGTTTAGACGGTAGTTAATTTAGAACTTGACCAAACCAACCTATGGTGTGCATCCTCTTTCTTCTCAGGACAACACAGCCATGGCTAATAGTACGCGATACGTGTGAGTGATAGAGTGTGTTAGATTATCGATGAGTGAGGTTTCCAACGGTGCTCTCTTGGCCCGCTATACATCCTGCTTAATGTCGATGACTGAAGTTTGGGTTTGCCTGATAACGGTTCTTAACCAGACACGGCAATATCAATATCTAATTTTTTTATACAGACATTATTACATTAAAGACTGAGCAACTAAACAACACTTACGTACAATTTCACTTATTGTAAACACTCGATCATGACAGTTAAGAAAAAAAGTCATTTGATGTTGTGCTATTCACTAATCAAGTTGCTTGGATCTTGATATAATTCTGTGCATTAGATTTCTTTCTATTATTTAATTAGCTTGTCTTTCTGTATTCTTCTTTCCCTATTTCTTCAATATTTTCTATATTCTTGTTTAAAGTGTGATCCCAAAATATTGTCAACTAAATACTTCATCTTTTCAATTATTGTACCAATAAAATCCATTAAATTATCACCAGCACATGTAATAAAATTAATCTAAATGTAGGACGAAAATTGTATATTAAAGTCACCCCAGACGTGTACAGTCTAATTAATTATACAAAATATTGGTGATTTTAATATATATATATTTTTTTCTTTTTTTTTCCTTTTAATTTCTTTGGGAGGAAGGTGCGTGTCTGCTGTCAGGGGCCACATTAGGACGAGATTGAGAAACAGACTTGAGAAACATTTTAGGCGTACTGAGAGTGGAATGAATGTTGCTGTTTTTTTTTTTTTTTTTTGATGTAGACTGTTGACACACCTATGTCTACAATGCAGTGTGGACTTGAAATATGCAGTTCCTTAATAGCTACTAAAAATTGATTTGTTATTTATTAATTTAATTTTGTGCGAATGGTTTTCAGAAATTTTTATGGGAGGGTGCCAATTTCACTTTATTTCGATAATTATAGCAATAATGATAATAATAATAATACAAATCGATAATTTTATAGAGAAATCTTTCTGGAAGTTGGTAAATTAACAACCGCTACGTCTGGTAAATTGTTTTCGATGTTGCGTTATTGGTTTGTTATCGTAAAATATTTGTAAATTAGTTTAAAAACGGTTATTTTGTTGTTGGAAAAAATTTGATTTGTGTTGTGTAGTAGGTGTTCGGCAGGCTATAGTTTCTGGGATGTGTAAATGGCGGCATGGTGTGTGTGCGTACGTGTGTATGTGTTTGTGTGTGCGCGTGCGTGCATGCCGTTCCCGGCCTGATGAGTACCCTGCTTCCCTGTGTTTGCAGCTGAGAGTAATAAGAGCTTTCAAGTCCACCCTGGAGGATCTAGAAGAACGTCGCTCCGTACATAGTTTACACAGCTTACACAGTTTACGCAGCTCGCGGAGCCACACCGGCCCTTGGCCACCCCGTCCTCTATCAGACATCACTTATATAGACGAGGACCCTGCTACTACAAAACTGTCGCCACAACAAGCCAGCAAGACAAGCGAGCGCGATGATCAACGTCTTTTGTCTCCCAATACCCTTAGATTACCTCCTCATCACCCGCAGTTTGCTCACCACGCTCCTTCTCCTGCTGCCAATGCTGCTGCCAATAACTCGGAGCTGCCAAAGCCCGTGCATGAAACTCGCATCTAGTGTTGCCAGTCCTGGCCGCAGAGGTCCGGCATACAACGTAAAAAATTTTTAACTGAATCCCCCTACCACCTTGTCTATTAGACTATTCATTAACTTTATAAAATCAATTCTTCATGTAAATTTTATTCTTTTTGATGCATTTAGGAACTTTGAAGAATCCAATGTTGTTGTTATCCAAATCATTTGAAAATCTGTATTGTGTTCAGTGCCTTTGACTGTGTGAATTATATTTATCATCTACTGCCAGTGTCGCTGGCACTAAAGACTAATGCAAAAAGTCATTATTCTGCCGCCCGGACGAAAACTATGCTATTAGTAGATGTCGGATGCCAGATGTAGCCATCCCTATTCCTAATTCCTTTGGACTCGAATATTATACCATTTAAACCTTAACTTATCCTTACATCAATAGCTTAGCACTAAGCAGTAGACATAACGACCAAATCTTAAAAAGAAATTGTATTATTTTGTATATAATATTTCATCGTTTACTGTAGATTAGCTGTATGTATAGCATTTTACTTAGCGTTAGATCTCTCAGGTTAGTGGTAATGAAAAGAGATGACATTTTATTTTTTACTTTGTTTAGCGCATGCACACTAACTGCGAGTCAATTGTATTATGTGTCGATCGCCAGCGACATACATATTATATATATATATATATATATATTAAAAACGCAATATTTATATATAATAAATCTTTAAAGTACATGGTATTTACATTGTGCTGTGCGCTGCGCTGTCTGTGGGTTAGCAGGCCACATTACTTAATTTTTGCTCGATATTATTACTACATAATATTTAAAGAATTTTGTTTTTAATAATATACTTTTCTTTCACTATTAACGATGCATTATTATAAATTTCTATATATTGTCTATACAGGATAAATAACTTTGAAAAATATAATTTATCTACTTATTAATAGGGTGATTCACATCAGTCAGAGGCCATTATAACCTTATATTTATCGTTGCGATGTTAATAGCTGCTTTTCTCATTAATTTTTCCTAATATTTCTAATGTATTTGACTGTTTATAGCTTTTATATGTTATTTTTTATAAAATATATCTATGCAAGCAAAACTGTTATCTTTTCGTATTATTACAATACCAGTATGCATATATATTACATATGTAATTTTGTCTGACTAATGTGAGTAACAACTATGTGTATAAGTTTTTCGTTTAAATTATTTTATGCTCTGTTCTGAATATTCGGCACTGAGCCAACTAAGGTACACGTTTCGAGCAATCGTGTCTGTCTGATCACATACGTGTAAGCAATTTAAGTAGCCTCCACGTATTTCCAACGCAACAACCACGGAAATAATGAATTCAGTTAATGTTACCTTCAGATAATGTAATAAATCCTTGATTGTTCGCGTTGTCACTCTTCTCAGGTTATTAGTAGTATATCTTATCTTACTCTGCACTATTCTATTGTATGTGTCTCTCACCTGTCTATCGAATCACTCTTAACGTTACCCTTTACTCTTGAAGGTGATAGGTGGTGAATTACAAGAACGTTTGATTCCGGTTCCATACAGCAAGAGCTCGACTGACCAAGCTGTAAGCCGCTTTTCTACCATCTTTCTGTCCGCTATGTAACTCATTGCTGCTGTTCGCTCTTGTTAGTTTGTGTTTGAAAGAGCTTCCACTGCTTCTACATTGGCACTGCAAATGGCTTTAGTTTAAGTCGAGGATGTTTGAACTGTTGTTAACTGCCTGGTTTAATTATCAGGTACAAATAAACACGTCCCAACATTCAGGCATGGTGCTCAATGTTTAAATTAAGTATTTTAATGAAATTGCACTTGTGACTTATTATTTTTTATTATAATTATAATTGCTACAAGAGGTGTATCGTTTATGTTTTTTTGCTTAAAAAAAAGTCTGTTCGGAGCAACTACAATGCCTGTGTCAATTTAGGAGCAGTGAAGTATTTTGTTTTTTTTTTTGTTTTTTTTTTTGATAGTTTTTCTGTATCTCTTTTTCTGTTGTTAAGGTTGGTAGTCCTGGTATATTTAGAATAAAAAAATATGTGAAAGTTTCAGTCACATTAAAACTGTAAAAGAACATTTCAAAAACGTGTATTATATTTTTTATTTCGGATAGTATTTTTGCAGGATTTTTTTTTTATATTTTACATGAGCCTTATTTTAAGTGTACCAAATGAAAGAACGGTTCTTCTGTTTGCATGATGCATGCACTTTTTTTGTTTTTTTTTTTATTTTGGTTTCACATGATTTTCACAGATGCATAAGATCGCTCAAAACGACTGCTCGGCCGAATTTTGTCGATTCAAATTCCTTAATATGTATTATTGAAAGGCATTGACAATATCTCCAACTCAAAGAATAAGTAGTTATATTTTGTTCGTGGTATCTAAAATAATGTATATAGGTACATATTTCTGACAACTTTTCAGCTTGAAAGCATAACTGAATGTTTACATGCAAAATTTATATACTCTTGCGTTGGCTCCTATTTGATCACAAATATTATACGAGTGATAAATTTTGTATAAGAAATTAAATACATATTGTTACAAATGGGATATAATTATTAGACTAAATAAAAGTAGAAATCTTATATTTTCATAAAAATAAAACTTACGCAACTTGAGGATAATGTAATTTTTGCCGGGCATAAATTGTCCAAAGAATATTGCCTCGACTTAATTCTTTATCATACTCAAAATTAATGCTTGTTGCTTGTTTTATAGGCTACATTATGGCCTCATTGCACATATAGTAATAGTGTTGTTTGTTAAATTATTGTAGAGGCTTTATTTATTTGTAAAAAAAAAATGTTTAAATCGAATTGTTTTTGGTAATGTAATTATCATATATAATATCTATATGTAATGCACAATATATATCAAGGTCTCAAAATTTACACCCATATTTTTAGGGTTTTAGGAGACCAACAAATCAAATATGAAAAGTGGAAAAAAAATTCCAAATGGCCTTCGTTATCAAATCATTAAAAAAAAAGAACAAAAATACATTATTTGAAGTACATTAAAATTGAATAATATTAGAAAACCGGAAGTTCGTTACATATATCACAAAATGCATTTACCTCTCGTACGTTAAGAAAACATTTGCACAAGGTATCACAATTCTATAAGCCAGAAACCAGTTGTGACATCTCTCTGATTGACTATTTCTCATTTCAAATAGCCTCGGAAAAATAAATCGATGGGATGGAGGCTAAGGTATGGATCTACCCCAATCTATCATTGAGAAATTTCTCTCTTTTGCATAGTGTATTGACACGAACAAGATTACATTCAAACCTATTCAAACACGCTTTGTGACGAGTGAATGATATCTTGTTTCCTAACATTAATTTTTAGTGAATTTTATATGATGCATTCTTGCTTTTCTTTTAATAATCCAATAAGGAAAGTCAATCAGAAAATTTTCCACTCTTCATATTCCATTTGTTACCAGCGTTAATTTTGAGACACACAGACATATATATATATA